TTGCGGCGCCCAGGCACGCCAGCTACTCGCCCCTGCCAGGGGTGCTGCCCAGTGTGCGGCGGGCAGAGAGGCTCCCCGTCTCGGGGTCACTCTCCCGCCGCCGCTCTCCCCTTGCAGCTCACGGTGCAGACCCATCCCGACCATGACCTCGCAGGCCGGGCATGAAAGCCCAGAGCAACGCTCCTTAGGTTGTTTGTAGCTGGGAGCTCCCGATGGGGCTGGGTCCCGCCTCAATCCGGCCCCTCGAGAACGAGGCTTCAGGCCCACCTTGCGGGGCCAGCCGGGAGGAAGGGGGCATCCCGTGTGATCGCCGACGGTGGTGGGGCGGCTTCCTGGCTCCGGCAGAGGCGACCCGGTTCCAGAGCTGGTGGCGGCAACAGCAGCCTGTCTGTGCAGAGGCAGCGGCCCCTGCGACAGCCCAGCCCTGCAGGATCGATTTCAGAAGCTGCTTCCCGGATGCCATGTCCGGAGCGTCTCCTCAGCCTGCCCGGTGACTCCGTGAAGCCATCCCGATCACACACGTCCCTTGGGGTTAAACGGGCGAGAACAAATGCTGCTCATTGTCCGTAGTGGGAAGGGTCGACCGGTACGTCCATCTATGGCCTGTTCGCTCTTTAAACAGTCTTTAAACAGAAATGTTCTCTGAAAAGCATAGTCTGTGAACTGATGCCAGTCCATGGGCTGCTTGTTACTGGTTTAAGAGATGACAAAACCTAGAGCAACCGGGAACTTTTACGGTGACTCAGCACTGCTGTGACATCGAAGCCCATCACCATTTTTCCAGTACTTAACTTCTATGTATTTTACAAAAGTTCTGGTCCACAACAGATTAGGGGAAAAAATGAACACACTAAAAACTGGTCTTCCACTATAGATAGTTTTAGAAACACTGGTCTGTACCCCAATCAAAAGATGCTTCTCCCTGCTTTAAAACCCACTAATACTTCCCATTGAACATAGAATAACCTGAATTCTTACTCTGGCCCTACCTACCTCGCTGCCTCTAACTCTCTTCCTTGTGCTCCAGACACACTAGCCTCTTAACATCTCAATGGCCTCAGGATCTTTGCAGTAGCTGTCTCTGTCTAAAATACTCCATCCCCATCACTCTGTGATGTGACATGTTTTGTTCACTCAGAACACTTATCCCTGTCTTAAACTCCTTCTTGATCATTTCTGTACTTATTCGGCATCTCTCTCTTCCTCAGAGGGTGGGCCCACATGGGTGAGACCATGTCTATCCCCAATATGCCCACTTCCAGAGCAGCGCCTGGCACGTGGCATGAATGAGACCTCCTCTCCTGCCTCTCCTGCCTACACTCAGCCACTCTTCCAGGCGAAGCCCCGTCATCTCCGCCTCATCTGACACCTACTGGACAAAGAGAAACTTACCCCAAGCAATTCATTTTCTCTAATGACGGGGACTTTCATAGGGTTCCTTCTCTTCAACAGACTCTACACCCTCCATGAAAAAACACATCTTCTACTCTTCTCCTCTACCTTCACCAGACCTTGGCCATCACTGCGCATCAAGCAGACATCCCAGTAACCTCTGTGACCATCCTTGTGCCTTGAGCCGGCTCTTCGAAATCTGACAGGGCTGCCGTGAGAGCAGTCATTTAAGAGAAACAAACCGTCATTCTCGTAGGAAATGCTTTAGTGATGGATTCAGGTCTCAGTAAGTCGGTGTCGTTGTCAACAAGGACAGATAACTAGCAGGTGCACGTTCACTGGAGGGCGCTGAGCGGGGGGCCAGCAGCAGGGACCCAGGATAGTGGTAGAGCGGGATGGTTAGTGTTTCAGTCAAACTGGAGTATAAGTTCTGACTTTACTATTTATTAATAACTTAACCTTTGGTTCTCACTTAATCCCTGAAGCCTCGATTTCCTCATCCACAAAACAGAGACGACGATGAGGGTAATGATGAAGATGGTGGTGATGCCAGGCACCTCGGGCTGTCAAGAGGCTGCACGCGTGATGGTTAAGAACACCCCCGCTGGAAGAGGCTGTCCAAGTCCAAACCCCATGTCCACCACTTACTAAGTACATAACCTTGGACAAATTACTTATCTCTCTGCTTCCGTTTCTCCATCTTTAAAATGGGGATAGTAACAGCGTCTATCTGAAAGGCTGTCGTGAAGGTAAAATGAGTTAATTCCTACAAAGGACTAAGAAGAGCGCCTGCCTGGTGGTGAGCCTTGAGGAACTGTTGGCTGTTACAGTGATCACTGTTTTGCATCAATGCTCAGGCAGGTTTTTTCCCCTCACATTTTAACATCTCTGAAATCCTGAGGAAATACTGCCATATTTAGTATCTTACGGTGACCGCATGCCTGTTTCCCCATCTTTCCGCATCTCTAAAACTAGGATACCCCTGAGCATCTTAGACCCTGTGCACTAAGCACAGCCCTGGCCTATGGAAGACACTCAACATTTACGTGATGAGTCAATGTCTGTTGATCTAAAATATAACATTCCTTTTTTTTTTTTTTAAGTAGGCTGCATGCCCAGCATGGAGCCCATCAAGGGGCTCAAACTCACGACCCTGAGCTGAGATCAAGATCAAATGCTCAACCGACTGAGCCACCCAGGCACCCTGGAACATTCCACTTCCTACAATCTCTCTCTGTAAACAAATACTGTAAGAAATGGATTCGATTTCTCCCATTGTATAATTCTTCTACTACTGGGAACAGAAGATATTTCTCTCTAAACCAAGATTTCTCAAATGTCTAACTACATAGAAACTTGCTGGGAATGATCCCCTCCCCTTGAATTTTGAAATTTCACACTCTCAGAAGCAACAATCAGAACTCTAACATAAGGCACATCTCACACCAAGAGGCCCGCTACTAAATACAGGAAGTGATTATGTAGGTTCATTAAGAAGCAAAATGTTGGTTCATTGGTAAGAAAAAAAATTATCAATGAAATATTTTTTTTTTTTTTTTAAAGATTTTATTTATTTATTTGACAGAGAGAGATCACTAGGCAGAGAGGCAGGCAGAGAGAGAGGAGGAAGCAGGCTCTCCGCGGAGCAGAGAGCCCGATGCGGGGCTCGATCCCAGGATTCTGGGATCATGACCTGAGCTGAAGGCAGAGGCTTTAACCCACTGAGCCACCCAGGTGCCCCTTATCAATGAAATATTAAAGTTTGGTGGTTGTTTCTCTTGATTGTATTAGGGGCTCTGTCCTGATGGACAGACGTACAGAAAGGATCAAAGAGCACAATCTGTGTCAGACAGAATATATGAGAAAATGTAATCACAGAACACCTCATTTATCCAGACTGTTTGAAACAGATGCTTAAAATGTGAAAATTTCAGATCAATAAGGTCTACTCCTTGAACTTCACGTGAAACTCTTCTCTATAGCCATCACTTTAAGTGTGGATCTTTTCAAAACATTTTCTTTTTTGGGGTGCCTGGGTGGCTCAGTCATTAAGCGTCTGCCTCTGGCTCAGGTCGTGATCCCAGGGTCCCGGGATCGAGCCCCACATCAGGTTCTCTACTCAGCGGGAAGCCTGTTTCCCCCCTCCCGCTTCCTCTGCTTGTGTTACCTCTCTGTCTCTTTCTCTGTCAAATAAATAAAGTCTTAAAAAAAAAACAAACCATTTTCTTTCTTCACTTTCCTACTTCCTCCATCATGCTACTGGCGTGGCTTGCTGACCACCACCCGCCACGAGCTTGGGCACTCTCTAGCCCATCCCGGGGCCACCTGCCCAGACTGCTCTTGCTTGTGCTGCTGCTGTTGCTGGCATCCTCAGGTTTCGTATTTTCGGTTTCCTCGCCCACTGTGGGACTGTCACCTGTCACATTCTGTTATTGCTGATGGGCCACATTCTAGAAGCTCATTCTAACCAATGGCTCTATTCTTAATAGGTTTTAAACCAAGCAACCTGATAACTAACTTTGTTAGAATTGGACTTAAAACACAGTTAAACAGATCCGTGAATGATGGGCTTACCTGTGAATAAAATGCACAAGGTCTGTCACATAAATAGCATTTAGTCCCAGATACACGGCCAACTCCTATTTTTTTTCAAAAAGATCCTAAAGTTTTTAGATCCAAAAGTTTTTCATCAATGTCTACAGATGTATAAAAACTTGCCTGTCTATGCTATTTATTTTATTAGTAATTTACTAAAGCACACATTTCCAATCACATATAAAATATACTAGTTTGATAATAACGCTTTTTTCCACTTTCCCACGTGGTAACCATTTCATTAGAACTCTTCGTGTGCAACTAAAACTCTGTTCCAAGCCTTAGCTAGTCCCTCACAGAACACGGAGCAGCTGATTTGTTTCCATGTGTCCAAGAAGCACGAGGCAACGTGTACAAGACCACGCGTCCGGGGCGTTTCCCAGGGGCGTCTCCGAGGCTCATGTGTCCTGACACCTGACACACCTGTGCAGCCGCTCCCCCAGGGAGACTTGCTACACGGGCCGACCATCCGTCTTCTTCTATCCAGTTTCCTCCAGTGACCTCTCGAAGCCTCCAGGACCAGCCCCAACTGAGGCCGGCTCAGGCGCACGTGCTCTCCTCAACGGTGCTTTAGTTCAGAAGAAGGTGAGGCGCGAGCACCCTAGGGCGCAGGAGGGACTGTGTGAGGATGCAAAGAGAAGGGGTCGTGTCTCTCATCGGGGGGATTACGCTGCGGGGGAGCCCTGCCTTGTTCTGAGCCGAAGAACGGAGTGCTGACCGCGGCAGAGCCAGCACAGCGGCCCCGGAGGGACCTGAGGCAAGGAAGGTGCGAGCGGTTTCTGCTGCCCCGGGAGCCCCCCTCAGCCAGCTCCCAGCCAGCCTGAAGGCACAGTGTGCCGGGTAGACAAAAAGGCCCGAAAAATACCTCCCAAGCGCGAAGTGGCTCAGTACCGTGCACTTATAGAAACGCCCGTACTCTGGTGACTAGCGATTTTGAGGACGAAAACAAAGCATATGGGAACTACAAGCTTTAAAAGGAGATCTTAGATTAGCCCACAAATTATTCTACGTACCTCGTATTAGCTCATAAATATTCATGTCCATAAGTTCACATATGAGTGCAAGAGAGCCAGATTTTCTGTCACTGAGGAAGAAAGCAGGTTTGTAAGAATGTTTTATCTTAATCACAAAACAATCAAGTACTTAACTCACTGGCAAACATCTCCAGTAGACATAAAGCTCTCCTGGAGCAAAGGCTGAAGGCCCTGACTGAAGCGGGCGCTGTGATTTTCAGTCAGTACTTCAGGTGAAATTAACTTAAAATAAGAGTAAAACCTTCACTTGGAGCAAAAATTCTAAACACTTGCCCCCTTTGTAATGAGTTGTGTCTTAAAAATAGAAAATAACTACCAGCAGACAGGAGAAAGGAAGCTGAAGAGTTGGCTGAGCAAAACAGGAAAAAGAATTTAATTCATCTCCGTGACTGCAAATTTAGCTTTCATTTACCTAAACTCCTTCCATGTAATTGGGATAAATTATAATGGGGGAACAAAATCCACAAAGCGGTCGGGGGAAAAGGGAGAAAGATGGGTCACAGCAGACCTGTGGGGTGTCTAGGCCTTGCCCGGGCTGGGGACAGAGGCCTCTGGCCCAGTGGGTGAGCCCCGGGCGGAGAACATGTCACCGCAGCCCCCGCTCAGAGCACATCCAGTGGGGTGGTGTGTCAGGAGGCCCACGCGAGGTCCCAGGCGCAAGTGCCTGTGAAACACGGGACACACGGGCAGCGTGGTGACAGCCACACTGGCTACTCCAAGCACTGCAGGCCAGGAGGCCACACAGCTGTGACAAGATATCTCACCCGAGTCCTCTGATTAAAGCCTGCCGCACTTGAACTGTCAGAGACCTGGCTGGATTTAAAGCAGCGGGGAGAGCCACCGAGGGGCTTCACCCGGCGTGCACCCCCTCAGGACCTACGAAAGGCTGGTCCCGGTACCCTGGGCCTGAGCTCCTGCAGAAGTGCCAGCATCTGGGGACGAGCTGTGCTCTGCCTTCTCGACGGGCAGCTTAGCCTTAGGGAAGCTGTTCTAGAATTAGAACAGAAAAGTCCTCTGGATTACATCAGCTGCAGGAAGGCAGCAGCTCTCACTGCCTGAGACGGTGCACACGTGGCAGCGGGCGGGGAGAAAGCGAGTGCAGCCCCAGGCACGCGACACCGGGGCTCTCCCACGAGGCCACCATCCACCCTTGAGGCCTGCCCGCCCAGGCCGCTGTCTACGGAGAGGCCTCCCCGAGCTGCGGGAGAGGAGCCGTCTGAATGCGGCCTGCTCTCGTGACACGGAGTCACCCAGATGAAGGCACAGCAGCAAGAGGGATCAGACACGCATTTGTCCCAGGGCATAAATATGGGACTTAAAGTGAAATGAAAATGGTTACTCCCTGAGCCACAGAGCAAATATTTTAAACATCTACACGGTTTTTCTTAAAAAGCGATGTAATCGTTGTTATCAAATTGAGATAATTGGTAAAGCCCCCAATATACTTACAAAACCACTTCGTGCAACGTAAGAATGTTTGGGTGCGGATTCAGGCGCCTCAGAGCTTGTATCTCCCGCAGGTTGTTCACGTGCTCGATACTATTGTGCAGGGAAAAGAAATAACTCGCTTTTAATTTAGGTCGGCTTTCATTAGGGTTGTTCAGTCATTATCTGTTACCCGCGATCACAGCCGAAAAACTCACGAACATTTCAAGCAAGTTAATCGGCTTCCATTTCTCCTGTCAGCAGATGAAGTTCAGCACGTCTCGTTCTGGTTGTTATCTGATTAAAAACCAAGTGTCTTATAGCTTTGGACATACATTCAGATCTTCCCCACCTAAGCTCCTGAAAGAATGCCTTGGTAGTTTCTTTTATGATTAATAAACATACATTGGACGCCTGGGTGGCTCAGTCAGTGAAGCGTTTGCCTTCGGCTCAGGTCCTGATCCCAGGGTCTCAGGATCGAGTCCCACATCGGGTCTCTGCTCAGCGGCGAGCCTGCTTCCCCCTCTCTCTGCCTGCCTCTCTGCCTACTTGTGATCTCTCTCTGTCAAATAAATAAATAAAATCTTAAAAAAAAAAGAAAACCAGCTATCATACCCCAAAACATACTCTGCTTATTGTGACATAATTCTTTTCTGCCTCTATAGACACTTCACTCAGAAATAATGAACTAATAGATTTGGAAAGGCAATTTCCTCTGAGCATCACTAGCCTTTGTTCAAATAAAAAGATTTTTATTTTCAGAAAATATAAATCAACTCTGTTCTCTTTTAAAAATCATGAAAAAAATCTAAAAGACTGGAGTTAACTATTTATTTTTTAAAGATTTCATTTATTTATTTGACAGAGATAGAAAGCACACAAGCAGGACGGGTGGCAGGAAGAGAGAGGGAGAGGGAGAAGCAGACCTCCCACCGAGCAGGGAGCCCAATGTGGGGCTCGATCCCAGGACCCTGGGACTGTGACCCAAGCCGAAGGCAGACGCCAAACGACTGAGCCACCCAGGAGCCCCTGGAGTTAACTATTTTTCTCTGCCTTGGAGTTGCTTTGACTCTTGCAGTCAGGTGACATTCAGGGTTTTTTTTTTTTTGGTTTGTTTTCACTGTCCTACTGGACACAGAAACAATCATGGGATTGAACACAGAGGAGTACAGGCAGCCTCTGTTCCAAAAAGAACCAATGATATCTGCCATAAATGGATTTTTTTTTCCTGCAACTGGAAAAAATTCTAATTATCAGGTCAGAGTCTAAAAAATAAAAAATTATTAATCATGCAATTTCAACATTTCATTTTATCGGAAGTTTTTTTTTTTTTTTAGATTTATTTTAGAGAGAAAGAGAGAGAGTCTACATGAGGGGTGGAGACGTGAGGGAGAGGAGGAGCAGAATCCCCCCTGAGCAGAGGGTCTGATGCCATGGGGCTCGATCTCTGGACCCAGAGCATGATCTGAGCCAAAACCAAGAGTGGGACGCTTAACAGACTGAGCCATCCAGGCGCCCCGGTTTATCTAACCAATCCAATGTGTAAGAAGAAAGTCCTTAAGCTGAAGGGGAAGAAGAAGCAGTTATATTAATATTAGACCAAACAGATTTCAAAATAAAGGTTATTACTAGCTATAACAACTTCATGATGATGGGGCAGGACACCGAAAAGACAGGACGATGTGCTGAATAGGACGGCTTCAGTACATAGGCAGTAAAGACTGACGGTGGAAAGCGGAAGGAGCTGGAAGCTTTGGGACCCCTCTATATCACTGAGAAGGTCGGCAAAGATGCACAAGATCCTAACAGCACTGCTGACCACCCTGACCTAACCAACCTTACATGGAACTCACATTTAACACCTAAGTACAACGTGCTCTTTACTCTGACGAATATGCTAGACCCAAAGATAAGTCTCAGTAAACTTCCAAACTCACAGACTTACAGAACACATTCTCTGACCACAATAGCTTATGACAGTAAGCGAGCTAGAAGAGCCCCAAACATCTGCAAATTAAACAACACTCTTGTAAATAAACCACGGGGAAAGAAGAACTCACAAGGAGAATTAGAACACATTTTATTTTATTTATTTATTTTTAAATTTTTAAAATTTATTTATTTGACAGACAGAGATCACAAGCAGGCAGAGAGGCAGGCAGAGAGAGAGGAGGAGGCAGGCTACCTGCTGAGCAGAGAGCCCGATGTGGGGCTCGATCCCAGGATCCTGGGATCACGACCTGAGCCGGAGACAGAGGCTTAACCCACTGAGCCATCCAGGAGCCCCTAGAAAACATTTTAAACCAAGCAATAAGAAAACACAACATATCAAGATGCACAGAATGCAGGAAAACAGGGCTTAGACGTGTATTTGTAGCTTTAAATGCTTATGTTAGGAAAAAATGGTTAAAAATAAATTATCTGTTTTCACCTTCAGGTAGACTAAGAAGAGTAAATTAAACCAAAGTAGAAGAAAAGCAACACTAAAGAGGAGAAATCGATGGCACAGAAAACAGACGAATAAGGACGCCTGGTGGCTCAGCCGGTTGAACGACCGACCCCTGCTTTTTGCAGTGGTCATGAGAGCAAGCCTTGCGTTGGACTCTGCACTTAGTAGGAAGACCGCTTTGGATTCTCTCTCCCCCTCTTCCACCCCACCCCCACCCCGCACTTTCTCTCTAAAAATAAATAAATAAATCTTAAAAAGAAGAAGAAGAAAATAGACAAATAATAAAGAAAATGAACAAACCTGAAGCTGGTTCTTTGAAAAGATTAATAAAACTGATAAACCTCTACCAAAACCAACGAAGGAAAAAAAATTATATAAAACACTACCACCACCAAATGATATCAGGAATGACAGGGACCATCACTAGAGTTAGATATTAAAAAGATAAGAGAGGGGGGAGCCAGAGTGGCTCAGTTTGTTAAGCATCTGCCTTCAGTTTGGGTCATGATCCCAGAGTTCTGAGATCAAGCCGTGCATTGGGCTCCCTGCTCAGCAGGGAGTCTGCTTCTCCCTCTCCCTCTCTCTCAAGTAAATAGATAAAAACCTTTTTTTAAAAATATTTTATTTATTTATTTGACAGACAGAGATTACAAGTAGGCAGAGAAGCAGACAGAGAGGGAGGAGGAAGCAGGCTCCCTGCTGAACACAGAGCCCGATGCGGGACTCGATCCCAGGACCCTGGGATCATGACCTGAGCCGAAGGCAGAGGCTTAACCCACGGAGCCACCCAGGCGCCCCAAACCTTTTTTTAAAAAAGGACAAAAGGGAGTATTACGAACTGTATGCCAATACATTTGACAATTTAAAAAGACAAACCCCTTGAAAGACATAATTACCAAATCCGACACAAAACTGAAAATCAAAGTAGCCCTATGTTTACCAAAGAAACGGCATTTGTTATCAAAAGCCTCCTCACCTGATGGAAGTGTTCCAAAATGGGATTACGGTGATAGCTGCACACCTGTATAGCTTTCCTTACAGCGGTGGACTTTCAGGGTATGTAAATTATATCTCAATGAAGCTTTGAAAACCTTATAAAAATCCAAAATCATTTGGTATGGTTCTACTTGACTCTTCACCTTCCATGGCCCTGATACACCACGGAGCCATGGTCTACTATGCTGCGTGGTGGGGGTGAACCTTCCCCACAAAGGAAACTTCTAGGCCCAGGTGATTTCACAGGGGAATTACTTCGAACATTTAAGAAATACTCACACACGTTTCACAAAAGGAGGTTTGTGAGTGGCTGATAAGCACACGAGTGAGTACCCATCATCACCAGTCACCAGGGCAGTGGAAACTAAACTAAATAAGGTACCACTCGCCAGGGTGGCTAACATCTAAGACTAACACCGCCAAATGCTGGGGACGTGCAGATCGGTTGTGACTCTTTCATTGTTGGTGGGGATGGAAACAGGAAAAGTGCTTTGGAAAAGGGCTCCACCATTTCTTCCACGAAACACCTACTCTTGGCTCTGGCGGTTCTATTCTAGGGAGCTGCGTGAGAAAAATGAAAACCTAGATCCCAACGAGGCTTGAGCATGAGTTTTAACAGCAGCTTTATTCACAGCAGCCTCCAACCCAGACGAGTAAAAGTCCATTGCCAGGAGAACGGGTAAACAGCTGGTGCGTTACTAGATAGTAAACAGGTATAAACTACGGGCACAACAGGGCAGGGGGATCTCCAAGACCTCCCGCTGCGCCAGGAGAGCAGCGGAGCATGGTGGGTGATTTTGCTTTCAGCGGTTCCATTTAGCACAAATTTCTAAGAGAGGATGAAGGGAAAAACCCAGAGCAGTGACTGCCTGGGATGGGGGTGGAGAACTGCCATGAAGAAGTCTTATAGGTGACAGAAATGTTCTAGCTCTTAATTACATGAAAGCAGCCATTCGCCAAAATTATTAAAAAATGTGCATTTTAACATATGCAAATTCCGCCTTAAAAAAAAGAATGGCGCACGGACAAGCAAGTGGGAAAGGAGCCCTTTGGAGACGCACAGGAAATGAACAGGATAGGCGTGTTGATTCCGGTGGCTGGATACCTGGGGTCCGTTATACTGCTCTGTTTACTTTGTATACGTTTGAAATTTTCCATAATTATGTTCTTTTTAAGCAAAAGAGCTTTTAAAGTGACTCATTAATTTCTTATCTTTGTTTTTACTTATAACCTTCCAAAGCAGAATTTATTTCTGTAAAAGTGATTTGAGGACCATGCAGTGATGGGACGTGAGAAAAACCGTGTGCCAAGTCAAGACCAGACCAGACCGTCTGCAGCAGTCAAGAGCACTACGAAGAGTGCTGGTCCTTTCCTGGGTCCCACGCTGGGCTCCACTGCTTGCCGGCTCGGTGACCCCAGGCAGGCGAGGAAACTCAGCTCTCTAACCAGGCTTCCCTAAGGCAATGACACCATCTATCTTTCCTCTCAGGCTTCAGTGAGGACTCAGGGCTCTACGCACATAACTTGCCGACACTGGGCCCGGCGCCAGACACATGGCCAACAACCATTGTCCTCTTTGTCATGACTCCTGCTATTGCCCGCTTCACTTTTCTAAAGTCTTGAAACCCCACTCGCCTGCACTGCCCCACGGCAAGTTGATCTATGACTA